CGCGTCTTTCTGCGCGCTGTGTGTGTGTCATTGGAATGGAATGAATGAATGAGTGTGTGCATCAGGACATTCACATACAGAGCGTTCTCTTTAGTCTAATCGCGCATAGATGCAAAAAAAGCTTTTGCAGTTCATATAATGTAACGATAGTTACAATACAAGGATGACGCTGCGTTAAACTGGACACCCCTCTCTATGAATGAAAACTTTATACCTTATCCGTCTTCTGCGCAGTTTCTTCATATTGCCTTTGTACAGAATAACACAAAATTAGTAAAAGATCAAATATTGCAGTACGAAATATCTCCACGCTGAGCCTTTTTTGCACTTCCTGATTTCCCTACTTGAGAATCCTTGCCCAATGAATGGACGACCTTCGCACACGTGTGGTTTTGTTTACAAATTTTGGTTCACTTGCAAAAAGAGCAGTGTGAAAGCGAACCGTACCAAAAAAAAAAAAATTATTTGGTCCGGACCAAAGCAAGTGAACTATCGGACTTTCCTGGTGTGAATTATTTTTTTTGGCACGGTTTGCTTTCAAACTGCTCTTTTTGCAAGTGAACCAAAATTTGTAAACAAAACCACACGTGCTAAAGTCGTCCATTCATTGGACAAGGATTCTCAAGTAGGGAAATCAGGAAGTGCAAAAATGGCTTAAAGTAAATTAACGCAGCATCATCCTTGTATTATATGAACTGCAGTCTGCAAATGCTTTTTTTTTTTTTGCATCTATGCGCGATTAGACTAAAGAGAACGCTCTGTGTGTGAATGTCCTGATGCACACACTCATTCATTCATTCCATTCCAATGATGCACACACGACGCGCAGAAAGACGCGCAACAGATGTAATGTAGTAACGTTAGGCTACAACAGATCACTTTCCCATAACGCAACTCCGACTACGGAAGCCTGTTAACTCAAAGGCGCAGTGCTTTCTTGCAATTGGGTAGGTTCATGTTCACACCGTAAACGGACCGTACCAGAGTTCGTTTGGAACCGTACCGAGACCACCTCTTCAGCTGGGTCTCGGTTCGGTTGTTTGGTCCGCACCCGAGTTCGATTGCTGTATTCACACCTGCCCAAAAGGTCCGCACCAAGGGGGGAAACGAACTAGAGTTCGATTCAATCAAACCAAACAAGGCAGGTGTGAATACACCCTAAGATTAATAAATGTCATAGAAGTATTGTTCATTATTAGTTCATGTTAACAAATGAAACCTTATTGTACAATGTTACAGTTTTATTAGATGTGTGCTATGGCTTTAAATAGTAAATATAACTTCAAATCATATCTTTCAAGTCATGATATAATACAACCCAATGATATCTTGTATTTTATACTAACTTCCATGCAATCTTTACATTTAAAGAAATCTTGACCTTTCAATTTCTTTTGCCCATTTGTAAAACTTAATAACCTCCTTCTTACAAGTGAGTGTGTGTGTGTGCGCGCGTGTGAGTGTGTGTGTATGGAGCTAAAGTGTTAAGTTCTGATGTATAAAACAAATAGACACTCCCAAAAGCTGCAATATTCAGAAAGAATGACAAAACACAAGTGCACTTCGACCCTCAACCTTTGTCCAGCCTTTTAAAGACCCATCAACAACTCCACACTCTTTCAAAATATTGCGCAGAGGTTTGCAATATACCATGTTTTGAAATCTCTTTTTCACATACTCACTATGATTTTGCTTTAGCCATGCATTTTAATAATAAGAAAGTTGCTACATAACATTTAAACTGCAATTACTTCACACACACACCACAGAGCTGCTAAAATTTACAAAGTAAAAACAGCTGTGCAACTGATTGAACTTCATATTAGCCCACATTACAGGTCAGGATCCCTTTTGAAATCGATGAGTTTGCTAAATAGGAATGTGCCATTACTGAAATCTCTTCTCTAACTGTACAGGAGATGGCAGTATAACTTAAGTGACACCAAGACCTACAAGGAAACTATAAGGCACTGTGTTGGAGTTTTTGTATTTACTTACTACAGTATTTGCAGCCTTTCAGTGATTTACAGCTGGATAGATAGATAGGCCTACGTAGATTTGGACCTTTTGAAAGGGAGGTTTGGAGTCAGACTCCGGTCTAGTTCTGTCTCACTCATATTGTATTGCAGAACGCTTGTTGCGTGATCATTGTAATGTCTCAATGTCTGCCAAAACTCTGGGTGACTGTTAGGGTTACGAAAGGAACATCTGAGGAATCGCAGCTGTCTTCAGCCTCCAAATGATGTTAACTTTGCCATTGCAATAGACTCCATTTCATGAACCTCAGTACATACACTGCTGTTCCAAAGATTGGGTTCATAAAGGTTTTTTCTTAAATTAATACTTTTATTAAACAAAGATGCAACTGATTTTTTTTCCACTAAAATATGAAGCAGCTCAACTGTTTTCAACATAGATAACAATCAGAAATATTTCTTGACCATCAAATCATGTTTGAATGATTTCTGGATCATGTGACACAGAAGACTAGAGTGATGATGCAATTTAAAACTGTTTGTTTACATTGTATTTTTCATAATACTGTATTTGTGATCCAACAAATGCAGAAATAGTGCAAATTCTTCCTTCTTAATTGTATGTATTTTTGTTTGATTGTGTAACATTTTGCAGAATCCTAAGAATTTTTTATTTCTGGGTTTATTTGAAAAATCTCAAAATGTTCATACTTTTGAAGTCTGAGACAACACTGATATCAACACCGACAACACTGGTATATTCACTGCCCGGCAAAAAAAAAAAAAAAACGCTGTCTGGAATCGATGGGTTCATTATCGCTTTCGATTATTATGTTTCTAGCATGTTATGTGTTTGGCAACAGTTCTTCTAACCCTAGATGATGGAGTGTGTAGCATGAAGACACATCATGGTTTTATTCCATGATGACAATGCCAAGATTCATCAGTCTTAAACTGTGAAAGAATTGTTTGGAGGGAGCACGAAGAAACATTTTCACACATAAATCGCCACCTCTGAGTCATCACCTCTCACAGTTTAAAATCTTTGGGATGTGCTGGAGGAGACTTTACAGAGTGCTGGACTTTTGCACTGTCAATACAAGATCTTGACCAAAAATATATACACCTCTTGATGGAAATAAATGTTGTGATATTATTTTCATCAAGAGTTCTGCTTGTTGTTTGCACATCCATGATGAGAGTCTCCTGTTCCACCACATCCCAAAGCTGCTCTATTGGATTGAGATCTAGAGACTCTGGAGTCAGTTTCAGATACTGCCAGTCTCTGTTCAGGATTGATTGGTTCACGGAAATTGGTGGTCTTCTTTTTAATATGTGGCTCCAGAATCGCTAGCAAATCGTCAAACTGTTCCACTGACATTCTGAAATAAATTTTGAATCGCTCTGGATAATTTCGCAACTCCTTGATAAGGAGGTGGAACTCTCCTTCCTCTCGGCGCAATTTCAGGATTGGATGGACCCAATATTTTCTCTTTCTTTTTCTCTTTTTAATAAGAGAGAGGGCAACAAAATCATCCTCACTGCTTGACGAATCCATTTAGTATTTTTTTGCGTTTTTTTCCGCAAAGGTTTAAAACGCATCGGACTCAGTGTGCGAGGTTTCTGTGCGTGACGAATTTTTAGGCTGACGAACACGAAAAAACGCATAGGAAAATTTCGGACTCAGTGTGCAATGGCCTTTAAGCTTTTCTTTGAGAAAAGAACAAAGAACGGCACTGAAGTCCATCGCTCTGACTACGTCACCTTCTTCGTTGCTCTGGTTTGTTGTAGCGCTATCCTATTGCGTGCAGAGGGAATTTGAAAGACAAGCGTTTATCCCAGCCCTCGCATTGAGCCCTGCCAATGGTGTTTTCCCAGACCCAACATCTTGATGTGGATCTGGCTTGTCAGGCTAATCGGGATCCCTAAGCTCTGCGAGCTTTTGCACTTTTATTTACATACATTTGTAGTGGACATCTTGTTGCAAATTGTTGAACCGGTGTACTTAATAAAGTGGCCAGTGTGTGTTAGTGTTTTTGAGAGAGAGAGAGAGAGAGAGAGAGAGAGAGAGAGAGAGAGAGAGAGAGAGAGAGAGAGAGAGAGAGAGAGAGAGAGAGAGAGAGAGAGAGAGAGAGACAGTAAGACACAATCCATGCAAACTAAAAGGTGATAACTACTGAAGAAATGTGCCTGAGGTGTAATTTCTCTTAATTTTGGCAGAACCGACTGAATTAAGTCAGACTCAATGACGCATGTACTTTAAGGATATAGTTCTATGCATAAAAAAACCCGTTCAAAACAAACAAACCTTCAGAAGTGATAATTAGCAGATTGCATATTGTGCGTTGTACGCACTCAGAACATTTTCTAATGCAAATAACCATAAAAGGCAAAAGCGCAGAGGATGGGGACATAAACAGTCACTTTGGGAAATGTCACTCTCCAGCTTAAAATAAATCAGTACATACGGGCCAGTGAGCAACAGGTGGGTCCTTCCATACAAAGGCGACTTGAATGCAAAGCCTGTGTCTGTCATGCTATTGCTATGAGTGAGGGAGGGCAGGCGTGCGTTTCTGAGAGCCGTCCAAGTCACATAGAGTAACACATAACTTCTCACACTGACTTTCAATAAATATGATTTAGCTATATGATTCAGCAGTTAAAGTGGATTCATAACATGAGTCCAAAAGGAATTGTGTGAAATTTGCAAATACCACTAAAACAAGTCTAATAAATAAACCTCTAAAGTGAAGTGAGGCATTTAAAAAAAAAAAAATTACGCCATTTATTATGCAGTGTAGATTATATATTGAATGCTGCTAGTGAAATTAGCACAGACACTGTGATAGGGATTTATTTCCTACAATTACATTCATGCGGTGAATTGTTCATGCTAAATCATAGGAGCTCTGAATTTTGGCAGTAAACATACAAACTTATATAAAAAATGGCATTATTGGTATTTTCTGGGTACTTTCTGTACCTCGTCCCCCTCATATCACTGTAAGCATATCCAGCAGCTGGTCCTGTCTATCTTCAGCTAACCGCACGAGCACAGTGACTCGAACAGATCGCAGGCCTGTCTGCAGTACACACACACACACACACACATACTGTACTATCTGCAGGGACTTCGTTTCACAGCTTTGATATGAGGCTGACAAATGGATTTTAAAGCTGATTCGAAGCAGAACGTTCTAAGGTGAACATGAAGGTCCTCAAAAACATTCCACTGACACTTTTTCTGGCATATTTCAGCCTGAGTGAAGGGATCCAGAGAGGTGAGTCATGGCTTCTCATTGTGAATAACTAACTTGTGTTGTGTAAGCATTGACCACATGGTGAACTAAGGCAGTTTGTTGATTATTGAGAAATTAGGATTAAAGATCTGTTGAAATGTGGGTACACTAAATGTGAAAATACTCTTTGGAATGCTCTTCTCAAATCAAGCTGAATAACATGGAGTAAAAAAAAAATATATATATATATATATATATATATATGGGGGGGGGGGGGGGGGGGGGGATGTTTTTTTGACACAATGACACAATTCAGCAAAATACACTGTAAAAATAGATGATCGATACGTTATTACAACATGTTTTTACATTGCTTTAAATAAGTTAAACAAGATTCAACTCATTCAACTCAAGATTCAAGTCAGTTCAATGCAATTTAAGTTGAAATGACTTAAACATCTAAGTTGATTGTAGTTAAAAATTTAAGGAAGCGACTTTTTGTTTAAAGTGTGTGAAATGCACATAAACCTAGAAAGCACCACATAAGATATTCCATGCATGGCAATATTTACAGTAATGGATGAAGTGTCAAAAGTTTGTTATGAAAGGAGCTGTTTTTGACTCAGCTTGCTACAACATTTGCTGCTGCATTAATAATAGCCGTATCAATGGCCATTCATAACACATACTTTGTGTCATCATAGATTAAAGCAGAGGACGAAAGCTTCCAGCATGTTCGTTCCAGAACCATGACCATCATACCATGTTCAAGCGCTTCAAACCTTTCATTTTCAAATCAAGTCAAAGAAAACTTTCTCAAATTTTTCTTAGCACCCACATTGAATAAACATTTATTATAGTCTGGTTTTCCATGACCGTTTGAGAGAAGCCGTTACATACAGAGCAGAATTGTAAATCATTTTCAATGTTTTACAGTATCAATCTCAGAATCATTGACAGATGGGTGTAATTATCGATTATGATTTAAATAGTGAGGTCACGTCAAGCCTGAGCTATAATTTGTGACTTTTGGTGAACCTTAAAGCATAGTTGTGACCTCAGAGCTTTGAACTTCAATGTCTTCCAACTGGAAATGTTTATGATGATTTTGGATTCCAGATGGGGAAGATACACTGTACGCCCAAAGTTATATTTCCTAAGATACATTCATGCGGTTACTAATCGACATCTTAAAATAACTTATGAGGTCATAAGGCATATTGGTTTTGGACAGCATGCTAAAATCAATAGTTCTACTTAGAGAAAACACAGTGACACCTTGGAATGATTTGTTGGAAAATATCGATTGAGATTGTTTGAGTGTGGCATTGCTAGGTGATGTATTGGACGCATGTGGAATGCTATGCTTGCCAGATCTGATGTGTATTTCATATAGTCAGAAACACAGTGGTGGAATTTTTTTTTTTTTTTTTTTCAATCGAACCTATAAAAGAAAAAGCACACAATTGCTTAACATTGACCAAAAATTACTTTAAAGAAAGTTTACTCTGACTTTCTAAAGCAATGGTTCTCAACAGATGGCTCATGAATAGGGATAAGAATCATATATCATTAATAATTTTTTAGTACTTGAAGAATAATTGATAAGTATACAAATATACTACACAAAACCAGTGCTATTTTTTGTAACAATACCATTTATTGACAAAACTCTAATATGTAAAAATATATTTTAAGTCTTAATTAGTTGCTGGTCTATTCTGAATGCAATTGATAAAATAAAACATTTAACATGGAATTGGGCATAGTTGGATACATTGTCTAAAAAGGGTAAAAGAAAACATCCCTCGTATCTTTTTGTTGTCTACGGCAAAAGTTGCATCTAATCAAACTTTATCTTATTTTGGCACAAATTCATTTGTTCATTGGTACATTGACATACATTCATCCTAACAAACCATGAACTATGAAAGGTCAAAGGAAATAAGACCCAGCCTGCATTAATTGTAGGTTACATTCGGTAGCGTCGCCACTTAATGTCCACTTGGATCCTGGAACAAAATCAGTTGAGAACCACTGCTATAAATCACTCTCTCAACAGATGATGCCAAAATGCTATGCGATCAGATGGTAAGGTATAAATTTGATATTGACGTACACACTACCTCAGTCGAATTAATAGCATCAGTAGCTGTTCCACACCTCATCTGGCTGTCAGTGACCTGCGGAAGGGAATTAATGTTCCTTCTCACCCACTGCATACAGTACGTCTTTCTTGGGACCACACCAAATGTCATTCACACAGTAAGGTACTGGTGAAACTGGACAATGCTGATGTACAACACTACTGGAAGCAGTAATAAAAGCTAAGAACCAAGACTAACATTCCAGCCCGTTCTCATCCTTTGGCGTCATACATGTGACGCTTTGTACATTTCGTTGAAATCTTACGCATATGGCATCCTTTAGCATCAATATGAGACGCAGAACCCAAGGCGTCATACAGGTGACGCTCGTCTAAATCCGACGCACATGGCATCCTTTAGCATCAATATGAGACGCAGAACCCAAGGCGTCATACAGGTGACGCGCGTCTAAATCGGACGCACATGGCATCGTTTAGCATCGATATGAGACGCAGAACCCAAGGCGTCATACAGGTGACGCTCGTCTAAATCCGACGCACATGGCATCCTTTAGCATCAATATGAGACGCAGAACCCAAGGCGTCATACAGGTGACGCGCGTCTAAATCGGACGCACATGGCATCCTTTAGCATCAATATGAGACGCAGATCCCAAGGCGTCATACAGGTGACGCGCGTCTAAATCGGACGCACATGGCATCCTTTAGCATCGATATGAGACGCAGAACCCAAGGCGTCATACAGGTGACGCTCGTCTAAATCCGACGCACATGGCATCCTTTAGCATCGATATGAGACGCAGATCCCAAGGCGTCACCTATATGACGCCAAAGGATGCGAATGCGTTGAACATTCATAGCACAAGAAATCCTTAATGAAGACCTTTAATGCACCTTCTCAAAGTATTGGTGTTTCTAGGCTCTAAGTTTGAAACTAGGTTTTCATGCTTGAATGTTCAAAAAACACATTATTTTCCCCCACATTTGACGTTGTTGCAGCACCACTCTTCCCAGTCTGACTTTAAAGGGATAGTTCACTTTGAAATTGATTTTTGGTATGTTTTAGCTTACCTCAAGGGCATCCAAGATGTAGGTGTCTTTGTTTCCGCAGTAATTTTAATTTTGATATTTTTAGGTCAAACCGTTCTTGTCTGTCAGTCATATAATGCAGGTCTATGGTCACCACCTCAAAGAGCATGCACAGAGAAGTCCAAATTAAACATGATTTAATGACTCGTAAATGTAAGTACACATTGATGGCCTAAGACACGAAACGAGCGGTTTGTGTGAGAAAACGAACAGTATTTATATCGTTTTTACCTCTTGTAAACACTGAGGGCGCGGGCGCTTCGGTCTTTTCCGGCAAGTGCCGGCAAGCGCTGGAAGTGATCTCTCGCACGTGTACGTCACCGGAAAAGACCGAAGCGCCCGCGCCCTCAGATCACTTGGACGTGGCTGTGTTTACAAGAGGTAAAAACGATATAAATACTGTTCGTTTTCTCACACAAACCGCTTGTTTCGTGTCTTAGGCCATCAATGTGTACTTACATTTACGAGTCATTAAATCATGTTTAATTTGGACTTCTCTGTGCATGCTCTTTGAGGTGGTGACCATAGACCTGCATTATATGACTGACAGACAAGAACGGTTTGACCTAAAAATATCAAAATTAAAATTACTGCGGAAACAAAAACACCTACATCTTGGATGCCCTTGAGGTAAGCTAAAACATACCAAAAATCAATTTCAAAGTGAACTATCCCTTTAACTCCCTAAAGCAATTATGGTCTGTCATTACCAACAGATTTGAACAGTTGTGACCATAGTTGGCCAACGGGGAAACACAACCCTGTTTAGTTCCTGTCTCTATAAAGCCCTTCTTTCTGAAAAGTAAAATGTGCTCTGATTGGTCGGCTGGACCAGTGTGTTGTGAGTTACTAACACAACTCAAGCAGGCCTCGCCCCTTAATTTTGCATATGCCTTGGGCAGGAATTATTTAAATTAAGAATATTGTGACACGTTTGTTCCCGGAAGAAAACTCAAGACTACAATGGAGGCGTTTCAGGGAGTTCAGAAACAGTGACACTGATATAGAGAATAACTCCCACTGGAGGGACTTTGTGTTTTAAGACCTTTTTTCATGCACAAACAGCAACCTTACACACTAAAGAAAGATGAACATGTAAAATAGCATAATAGTTCATCTTCATAGTTCATCAAGAACTGGTGATCGCTGAAGTCAAATTAGATTTTGCCATCATTCAAGTATCTTTTCCTAAAAAAAAGTATTCAATATTTGATAGAGGCCTATGGCCTCCTAGTATTTGGACACTTGAGGCACTTGTCAGATAACAAATTATCAAAGTAGATGGCATCCACAAACAAATGATGCTAGAACTTTTCTTAAATGGATGAAAAAATAACAGTTGAAGTAATTTGTTTACATCAAAATGGATAAGTAAGGAGTGAGGCTGTTACACACAACCCTAAGCAGCATCTTAAGTTGCTAAAAGGTCAGGGATGATGATGTCCTTGGATGCTCTTGCGAGGAACAGGTGATATATCCGCTGATTCACACTTGGGAAATTGGCAGGTTGTGTTCCTGCGGAGTGCTAATGCATCCCCGTGAGAAAACGCAGCCGACAGCAAACAAGGTTTGCATAGTCATGGTGTAAATGAATGAGGCTCAAGCTTCACCGCTATCACTCATCAGCATACAAGACAGAGAAGACCTTAAAAAGACAAATTTTAGCAAAAAAAAAGAGCGTTTGAACCGACCTAAAGTGTTCAGCTGGTCTCCTGGATTGGTTTTAGAGGAGTTTTGTGCAGTTGACAGCAGACCTTAATGTGAGGCCAACAGGCCGACAAGTTTAATCCTTGTTTTGCTAGTTAGCTATGCCCTGTTAGCCCCTGCTAGTAGAAGACGTACCTAC